TCTGACTTACTAGTATTTTATACAGGTGTCTTACACCACTGTTCATAAGTTAGATTCATCTGAGGTTTTATTTTCTTGTGCTATCTCTATCACTTTTAGTACCAGGCTTAATCACATAACATAGGCCTTAAGAAGTCCTGTCGGAAAGAAGTCCATTCAACTTGGAAACTCTAGAATTTTCCAAAGTATTATAAAATCTGTTTTTTATGTTACTTGCTAATATTAAAAGTCAAATGCTAGGGACTCTACGTTGAGCACGATGCAGGGCTCGATCCCAGGACCCCGAGCTCATGACCTTGAGCCGAAACTAAGAGACGCTTAACTGACTGAGCCACCCAGGGCCGGACGGATAATTTTTAATAATGAAAATGTCATTATATGTTATTTGTATAATAAAAAAAAATGAGTTCACTGTAAAAAATACATAGGGAACAAAGAGAAAATTCTAAGTAACTTTGTAGGGGGCAGAAAAGGCCATGAAATTACAAACAAAACCATTCCTCCACTAAGGCAGGAAAAGTTACACTGGATTTATTTCAGTTTAGCTATAAAAGTGAAATAAAACTGCCAAAGCAGAGACTCAAAACGTGCAGAGACTTACTACCAGCCTCTGATTTACAGGTGTTCTTTATGCACTAACTACAGATTTATTGTTAAGTTTGAAAATGACGAGAAAACAGGCAAGTGGTCATGAAATACCAGAGTTCTGTGAACGCAGAGGGTTTAAGGATACTCTAGGGGTCCTTGGTTCCATGAAGCAGTAACGCCCTCATCACACTTGGTACAGGCTGATCCATTCCACTTCACCAAGTGGGGTGATGGAGGGTGGGGGTGGGGAGGGGGGTGGGGAGGGCAAGATGTGCAGAGGGGGTCAAAAGGTACAACTTCCTGTTATAAGAGAAGTAAGTCCTGGGGATGTCTGGATAGCAGGGTGACTGTAGCTAACGATACTGCGCCGTGGATTTGAAAAGAGAGGAAACCATAAAAGTTCTCATCACACACACAGAAATCTGTAACTGTGTGTGGTGATGGATATTAACTAGACTTACTATGGTGACCATTTCACAATATATACAAACACCGGATTATGATGTCACACACCCGATAGGGATTTTGTCACATGTCAATTATACTTCAATTAAAAAAAATGCTGTCTGAGACCCCATAAATGCATTCTGCAACCTGTAGACTGTAAACCCTGGTCCACAGTTCAACTTCTTAGTGATACCGTGGGCTGTTAATGATCTTGGCCAACCCACCTGCAGAGACTCATCGTCACCTCACTTCCTGAGGCGCCCACCCGTGCACCATGGCTCACACACTCCCTTTCCCCATGCGTCCGTGTCTCTGCAAATGTTGCTCCTTTCCGAGATGGTTTTCTCCACCCCCTGCCCCATCCAGGAAAATGTTCTTCCTTATCGTCCCTGCTTCATGGGCATTCTCTTCCCGAGTTCCTACCTGGCCAGCCAGTTAGCTGTGTCCTCTTCTGTGCTCTTGAGCCACTGAAATTGTAGCTTCTTTCTGTTTGTGTAATACATGCACAGAGTTTGCAAACTCTAATAGGGCCATAAGGCTTAGAACGAAACCCATGCCTGGTAGATTCCGACTTCAGCTCTGTAGAAGTCATGGCTTACAATTTTTTCTGTTTCTTCTAGAATTTACTCCTTCTTGATAAGGAACATGCCTCTGTTGCTGTTTTATTATTCATTCATTCATTCATTCATTCATTCATTCATTATTTGAGAGAGAGCGCATGCGTGCAAGTGTGTGCGTGCGAGCAGGGGGGAGGGGCAGAGGGAGGAAGAGAAGGAGAGAACACCAAGCAGTCTCCCTGCTGAGCATGGAGCTTGATCTCAGGACCCTGAGATCATGACCTGAGCTGAAATCAAGAGTCGGATGCTTAACTGACTGAGCCACCCAGGCGCCCCTATTTTTCATTTTAGATGTTAGCAAGTGACTTCCTACTTGGAGTGTGACTTTTAGCTATTTTTACTGCCCTCCTAATTATTATGGTTATATCAAATTTTTAGTTAACATTCAGAATGAATATGACATGATTATAAATATTGTTCACCTTGGGTTATATTTTCTTTCTAGTATATCCTGAGTTTTTTTTTTTTAATGAAATTAACAAGTGCTTTTATTACTTGTTTCCTGTGGAGGTAACTTTTGGACAAACACCCGACAGAGGGAACCAGGATGCAGGGGGGGTTTGGGGGAAGAGGACTTCCCAATGAGCTGATTGCTTGTTCAGAGGCCTTGGGGTGGGACTGTGCTGGGGGTGTCTGAGACACAGCAAGGCCCGTGTGAGGGGTTGGAGTGACAGAGGAAGACTAGTCACTGGTGTAGCAGAAGAGGGGACCAATGGTAGGGTCTCGTGGGCCACTGTGGATTTTATTCTGAGTATGATGGGAAGCCAATGGAAGATTCTGGAACACAGGGATGATGTGGTCAAACTGCTGTTTGATTACTCACCACCTGGGTGGCTCAGTTGGTTAAGCCTCCGACTCTTGATTTTGGCTCAGGTCATGATCTCGGGGTCGTGGGATCAAGCCCCGTGCCAGGCTCTGTGCTTAGTGCGAGTCTGCTTCTCTCTCTCCCTCTGCTCTTTCTCTCAAATAAATAAATAAAGTCTTAAAAAAAAAGATCACTCAGGTAGGTGGCTACCATCTGTTAGTTTCTTTTCATACATTATCTCATTCCATCCTTGTGACAACCTAACGGGACTGCGTCACTATTACCTCCCTTGCACAGATGAGGAAACAGGCTGAGTGGAGAGAAAATCATACCCAGAGCCACATCCAGTGAATGGCACAGCCAGTATTTGGTCTCAGCTCATTTTAGGAAATATAACCCCTCTGTCAAAAGGTCTTATGAAAGATGTTTGCCTTATTACCAAGACACGATCAGCAAACACTTCATGTGTGTGCGTCAATGAAGTCGTCTCGTGGTTCGTGCTGGGGGAATCAGAAAAGGGAGAGACGGATCTAGAATTGTAAGTCTGAGCTTGAAATATGGGTAGGATGGGGGCAAGAGGAGAGGTGGCGGCGGGGAGGGGTACAGGCTCATCAGAGGCCTGGAGATGGAAGTGGTTGCCGCTGTGAGGGGCTGGGAGAAGCTACCAGGTTCAGGCTGAGAAGTGGGAGCGTAACTGGGCTACCCCTCCAATCCCTGGTCCACCCCCACGGAACCCAGCTTCCCAGTAGAGACTCTGGTGTTTTCTCCTGATGTAGGGTGGGGTCTGTTTAGGGCCTTCGAGGCCCTCGGTGCCTTAACCTTTAGGGCATAAAAAATAAAAAATCCTGGAATGCATAATCCTAGAATCCTTCATAAAAAGTCCTACAATGCACTCATCTCTCAAATTACAATTTACATGGAACTATGTGTCACAGGATTCTACAGAGTTCCTAATTCCGTTTTAGATTTGCCCAGGCCTGAAACTGCCAGATGCCAAAGTGAGGCAGGAGATGGAGGTTTCAGAAGGCCGGTGTTGTCTGCCTCTCAAACGCCTCACCTGCCCTGAGGGTGTCAAAGCAGAGGAAGAGAGAATTTTTCGTGAGACCTGCTGGTGAGTACCCCCTGCTCTGTCTTCAAGAGGGGATGTGTCGGCAAAGCCAGCGCGGGCTGTCTTAGGCCTTGGCCAAGGGGTCCAAGTGAAGGGAAGAGAAAGCACCCTGATGACTGGGGGAAGGGTCTCCATGTGAGCATCCCAACAGAGAAACGGTCAGCTTTTCAGTCCCGCTCTGACATCTGCTGCTCATGACCAGAGTCTGTCTGCCCCATTCTCTTCCCTTCTGCCCTTGCCTCTCAGCCACGGTTACCCACATGGGAAAGCAGTTTAATGGTGAAAAATAGAAGAAGTAGCTAACCACCGTCCCCCCTCCAGGACACACATACATGGAGTACATCTCCAAGGAACCTAAATAAAAGTACCTTGTGAATACATCTCAGAAGTCATGCTTTGTCTACCAAATGGTTACGTATAGGAGTTGAATTTAATGGACACACAGCTACGTGTTTGACGTTTGAATATTTGCTAATTTTGATTACCTAGGTTTTTTTTTTTTTCTTCATATTTTGGAGCCAACATGGGTTTTCGTCTCCTATCTTAAGTATCTTCTCAGGGCTTTATAAGGCTCATGTGTCCTGTCACTTGTAACGGGTGAAATGACCATGGGGTACATAGCTGGGAGGTCTCTGGACTTGGATTCTGCGGGTGCGAGTTGAAGTGTGGCTCTAATATGACTCTGGGCAAGTCAGCTCTCCTCTCAGGGTCCTTGCTTTGTTATCTGTGGAGTGGAGGGTCCGGACTAGTCAGCATCTCCTGTTCTGGTTGGTTCTAAGACTCACATCCCTGGGATTTCCTCAGTAGTTTGCAGGAGGCTGATATGTCCTCAGTTTCAGTGAATGTTTGGGGGTGCCTGGATGGCTTAGTTGGTGAAGCGTCTGCCTTCCGCTCAGGTCATGATCCCAGGGTCCTGGGATCGAGCCCCGAATCAGGCTCCCTGCTCAGCGGGGAGTCTGTTCTCCCTCTGCCCCTCCCCCCGTTCATGCTTGTTCTCTCTCTCTCAAATAAATACAGAAAAATTCTTTTTTTAAAATTTTTTTTTAAAGATTTTATTTATTTATTTGAGAGAGGGAGAATGAGAGACAGAGAACACGAGAGGGAAGAGGGTCAGAGAGAGAAGCAGACTCCCCACTGAGCAGGGAGCCCGACGTGGGACTCGATCCCAGGACTCCAGGATCATGACCTGAGCCGAAGGCAGTCGCTTAACCAACTGAGCCACCCAGGCGCCCCAAAAAAATTCTTAAAAAAATAAAATAAATGAGTGTTTGCTGAATGAATAAGCCAGTGACAGCTGGATCCCTAAACCCTCCAACTTTGCCCTTGGATCTCTATGGGACGCCAGGGTGGCGCGCTGTCTGGGTCACGGGAGCCGCTCCCCTCCCCCACCCCAGGGCGGGGAGGGGTGAGCAGATGGGACAGACCATCCTCCTACCTTATTGAGGGTGTTGAGAGCTGCCTGGGCTGCCGTGAGCGCCGGCTCCGCCTTGGCCAGGTCCTCCTCACAGTCCTTCTGCTTCTGCTTCACCTCGAGCATGATGAGGGCCACCCTCCGCTCCTCCTCGTCCGCCACGGCCTTCTCTCTGCTCACCTTGTCCGTCTCTATGCCGACCACCTGAATCAGCTTGTCCGCGTCGTCATTCTTCTGCCTCAGCTCCCCTTCCTGGGCGGCCAGCTTGGCTTTCAGCCCATCCACCTGCAGCAGAGAAGCCCCGGGCTTATGGGGAGCAACAAGAATTCGGACGGGGGCGGGGGCCCGGGGATCTGACCCCCCCACGGAAAAACGCCAACTCCCGATGTGAAGGAAGGTGCAAAGCTGGGCTCTCCTCTGGGGCCAAGTGCCCTGAGCTGGGAGAGGAGAGGGACCCTGGACTCCCTCTTCCCCCTCCCTCTACAGTAAACGTGGTAGAAGAGTCTAAGCAACACACACCCTAACTTTTCTTTCTCCTTGATGCCCACGTGACTTAGGCTGCTTCTCACGGACATCGGTGCCTGTGTCTTATAAAACTCCGTGTGCCTCCCGTAATACTTTCCACACAAGTGGGCACGTCCTAAAAATCGGTCATTATTTCATGGATATTGGCCAATGTGAGGTATGCCAAGAATTTAGCAAGTGATAAAAAGCGAGTATCTACTGTGTTATCTGGAGAGACTGTGTGAACAGACAGTGGCCAGACCATATATAAAAGTAGAACTCTGACCCACAACAGCAACCCTCCTGGTGCTCAGGAGACCGACCCATTATGTACCATCACCAGCCCAGGAAGCTCTAATGGTACTGACTTACTGCTGTTAAGTCAGTCAAACTTGTAGGAAGTCACCCTCCTGTCTCCCTAACAATCCAGGAAGACAAGCAATAAATAACCTCAGTAACAATTGGCCCCAAATGGCCAGAATGTGTTTAATAGTAGCCACCTTCCTTAATTTTTGTCCCTGCTTCCAACTTAGGACCCACCAGAGAAGGTCAAACACGCTCCCCTAACATCACATAGGCTGCCCAATCCCAGTGCACCCACCACCAGATTCTGCAGGGCACCAGCCTCCACTGGGACACACCTGACACCTTTCCTTTCTTCTCACCGTGAAGCTCTCCCCACCCCTCTGCCTGCCTTTGAGTCTCTGCCAAAACCCAGGTGCTGGGTGGCTGACTCCCTTGCTAGAGCTAGCTCTGAAGAGAGAGCATTAGCTTCTTCTCACTTGGTTGGTCTTAGTTTATTCCCACAATCCTTATGAGAGAGATGACCAGGTTACAGCAGGACAGCAGAGAGAATTCCAGTGGCCCAGACCAGAATCCAGTGGGGCTCTCCATCCAGCCTCTGGATTCATGCGCATTTTGGAGGAAATAATGAAGCATTGGGAACATCACTGTGTAGGAAACCATTTATTTCTCCGATCCGCTGGAGAAGGAGACATGGTTTTCTCTGTACATTCAGTTCAGTGGAGTGTGCAGCTTCTCAGAGTGTGGTTCCGGGACCAGCAGCCCCAGCAACAGCATCCCCTGGGTACTTGCTAGAAATGTAAACTCTCGGGCCCACTCCAGATCTACTGAATCAGGAATTCTGGAGGTGGGCCTGGTGATCTGTGTTTTCATAGGCCCTGGGGTGATGCAGATGCTCACCTCCGGATTTGAGAGTCACTGGCTTGGTTTTATGGCCCTTTCACATGCAAAGAGAAGCCGCCTCAGATCTGTTTCTTTCTGGGAAGTAAAAAAGCCACTTGTCTTTGCAATACGGCCCATAAACTTTACATTGCAGGATGACCTCCTGTCTCTCATTTTCCTGCAGTCCATTTCCATGCAACAACCGAAGATTATTTCAGAGCTCCTGGAACATGCCAAGCAGATTCGAATGCTTTATGATGCAAAATTCAGAAGGGGAAAAATAAAACAGAGGCTTAGACGCTGCCGATAATTCCCTTTTCATGGCAGATCAAAAGAAAAGAAAAGGAAAGTGGGGGGGTGGGGGGCGCAGGAGGAGAGAATGCTTTTTAATTTTGTGTATTCATGGAAACTGGAGACTTTTTGTTAACCTCAAATGAAGGCCTGCTCCCTAGAACGAGTCTTATATGCCCGTGCTAGAAGGTTAATCCATTTCTATCTCCCGTTGTTCAGCTGCAGGGACTTATTTCTACAAGGACAAAGATGCAATTGTAAATCAAAATGATTGAACCACATAATCACCACAGTCAGCAAACACACCAGTAACTTTTTGTTCCTTTTTAAATCTTGGGAGATTTGAGAAAATTGGTGTGGTGTTTTTTTTTTTCCTGTTGTTGTTTGTTTGTTTGTTTTGCTGATTGCAGATAGGGCTGATGACCTCGGGTCCAAGGTAAATAATCACCAGCACTGTGAACGGGAGCTTTATGGCTCTTCGGCTGTGATGTGAGGGTCTCGCCGGTCAGAATGAGGCTGCTCCCCACCAAGCTAAAGAGAGGGCGTCAGTCAGGCTCATTTTATGACTCTTCTGCAATAGAATGGGATGTTGAAATAGGTCACTTTAAAATGTCCTCTTCTCTTTTCCTTCATTCAAAGCATTCGAGCCCCTCTTTGGCTCTCTTCCTCTTTAGACACCCACCCCCACCCCCGGATAGGAGGATCAAGGAGGACAGTGTCACAACCAACAAAGAGAGTCTCTCCTCAGTCTTGCCAGCCCCATGAATGTTCATCAGGGGGGAGGGGGTGTCAACTGAGTGGGGTGACAATAGGCTGGTGGTGAGAGACCCTCCCTTCTTCGAGGATCAGGAACATGATGCTAAAGAGAAAGGCTAAGCTTCCCAGGCCCTTCTCTTAAGAGCCACAGAAGGAGGAGAGAGACCCTGGCACAAATCCACAGCAATCCCTACTGTGCAGAGGGCTGGAAGCCCAGAGATATTTTCCTTCTTCCTCTGAGTCCCTCTGGTCACCCACCATGTTCTCATATGAATTCAACACTTCACATAGACTCTCCTCTTAGATGAGAGGTTTCCCATCCGTAGCAGACCCATGGTTGCCTGCCTAATAAAAACTTCTCATCCCTGTTCTGGAAACAGAGTTTGAATTTCCTTTAGGGAACGCTGCCTTCCCAAGTCCTCATAGTTTGGGTGGAGCCGACTCCAGTGGTTGTCCTTTGAACCTCGCTTGGCCAAGGAGAATATCCAAGTCATAGAGAATGGTTCAAGTCTGGGCAGACCGATGATCAGAAGATGCCAATCATAGCCACTGACCATTTATCCAGGAATTGGCAGAAAATCCTGGGAAAGGCAAACTCCTTCTTACAGTGGGGTTGCAAAGCAGATAGAATGTGAGTCTGAGGTTGCCAGGGCCCAGGGGGGCTGCCTGCCTGAACAGGGACATTTAGTGAGGGTCTAGCTCCAGCCCTGTCCAAATTCAGCTCTGTCTCTGAATTTTCTTGGTTTTATTTGTTGTTGTTGTTTTGCCTAAACCAACTTCCGCTGAATTTTGGTCAGCTGCCATCAAAAGGATCCTGATAAATATATCATGTGATCTCAAAAATTTTTTTCCTCTCTCCTGTCTTTTCCTTTTCTTTCTTTTTTCTTTTCTTCTCTTTCATGCTAAGTGAAATTGAATTCTTTTTTTTTTTTTTTTCACTTGCAACCGAAAGAGTCCTGATGAATAATCATGGTAAATTATTGAACCGTCAACTTCAGGTAAATTTGTTAGCCTGAGATTATTTGAAACCCCAGGATAAACTGAATTTAAGAGTCTCCAGACAGACTTGAGAAGTAAATCTTATATGCAGGGAATTGGTAACAACCCATAGGCCTTTTATGAACATTTCTTCAACCCAACAGCCCCTTTTCTTCATGAGTACCCCTGAGCCAGATACAGAGCGAGGGTGACAGTAGGTTCTGAAGATGCCAGGAGGAGACAGAGTGAGACCCCAAGTCAGAGTTGGGAGTTCTGACTGTGCCAAGAGAAGGAACAGAACAGAAGGGACGCCAGGTGTGAAGCTCTCATCTGAGGCAGGAGCAAAGACAGATGATGCCACCCAAAGACCCAGGAGAAGAGCCACTGTCAGCAGAGCCAGTGAGAGCTGGAAGACCACACCATGTGACTTCACCAGCTGCCTCCTGAAACCACCACCACCACCACCAGATGGGAAGGAGCAAATGACCCTTCACAGGGAAACAGCCCCGAGGCAGAGTTAGGCTCTGAACTGACTGCCCTCCAGAGACTGAGTTTTTAACTTGAAGGGACCAAGGCAACCTGAAATGCAAGATTAAGAACTCTCTACTCTTGGGGCACCTGGGTGGCTCAGCTGGTTGTGAGTGTCCAGGTCTTGGTTTTGGCTCAGGTCGTGATCTCGGGGTCATGGGATTGAGCTCTGTGTTGGGCTCCATGCTCAGTGGGGAGTCTGCTTCCCCTCTCTCTCTGCCCCTCACCCCCACTCATGCACTCTCTCTCTCTCAAATAATCTTTATTAAAAAAAAGAACTTTCTACTCTTAAATGAAAAAGATGGATCTGTAGCTAAGTTAAATTCAGTTATAGAAAAATAAAGTCACCTTTATGACCACTTGAGGCTAAGCATGAAATTATGTTTAAAATTTATCAACTTTAGATGATTATATAATTATTAATTATTATCACTCTTACCAGTATAATTATTACTTCTAATCTGCTATTGTTGCTAAAGAAATTTGGAGTCCCTCTGAGCCAGAGTTGTGATATTCACTTAGCCCACTCCCACTAGATTATGAATCCCAAAAACTGTCCTAAGTGGGTAGTAGGATAGTGATACCACGTAATTCAAATCATTACCCTTATACCAAGATTATGATGATACACTTAGGGCTTTTTCTACCCAAGGAACAGCTTCAGATGAAGGGTTTTTAACAGAGTTAGGAAGCCAAGTTGATACCATTTTTACAAGAAGAATCATCCTCATAACCATCCATTAGTATGAAATACACACCAGGTACACAGTATTGGGGGACCTGTCCTCCACCCCCACTCTGAGCTTATAGGTGACTTTAGAACGTGTTCATTTGGTTGATTGCCTGGCCATCTGTCATCTACCCAAATGTCCCTTTATCTACACAATTACAGAACACTTACTATGTGCCAATGAATCCTGGTTTCTGCGCTTATATGACCGCTGATGGTATAGCATGAAATACACAAGAGGAGAAACACAGTTCCGGGATGGAACCACAAAGATTGGAAGGCACAACTGCTCAGAGCTTAAAAAGGGCCTCTGGGAGCAGGGGCTAGCAAACTGTGTAGGCGCCGACAGTGACAAGCTGACAAGGGGTGGGGGTGCATGTAAAGACACGGAGACGTAAACTAGCTGTGGAGATTTGGGGCAACTATAACCAGTTGGAAGTACTGGATGCCAGGGTTGCAAGGGGGTAGATGGGAGGAAGAAAGGGTGGCATACGGGCAAGGATACAGTTTCAAAGTTCTAGAAAAGTTCAGAGAATCTGCAATGTAGTATCTAAAACGTTAAAGTCCACAGAAGAGAAGACTCAAGCTTATGGTTTGAGCAAAGATCCTCCAATAGCAGGACAGAGGCTGGGCCAGAGCTGTGTTGTCTGGTTTGGTAGCCACCAGCCCCATGTAGTGAATGAGCACCTAAAATGTGGCTTGTCCCACCGGAGATGTGCTGTAAATATAACCACACACACTAGTTTCTAAAGACTTGAAGAAAAAAAAATACCTCATTGATAACATTTTTATACATTGATTACCTATTAAAATAAGATTTTGGATGTGTCGGGTTAAATAAAATGTATTCTTAAAATATATAATTATGTAAAATTAAAATATATGGTTAGAATAAAATTCACTTATTTCCTTTTACTTCTTTTGATACAGCTACTAGAGAATTTAATTTGCATATATGACTGGCAGGATATTTCTATTGGATAGTACTTCCAGAATACAGTGGGGGATACTAAGCAGCATGCTATGCATTCACTCATTCATTCATTCATTCATTCATTCAACAAATATGTAATGAGTGCCCACTCTGTCCAAGTGCTGTTTTAGACACATTAATGAAACAAACAGATAAGGATCCTGGTCTTTACGGGGCTTGTGTCTAACAGATGGAGACAGACACCAAAAAAAAAAGGCAACAAGTATATTACATGTTGGATGGGGGTAAATGCTATGGGAAAAAGATAAAGTAGAGCAGAATAAGGGATGCAGGGGTGGTGTGGGGTTGCAACTGAAAACGGGGTCATCAGAGTAGGATTCAATGAGAAGGTGACATTTGAGCAAAGAGGAGGAGATGAAGGAGTGAGCCATGGGATGAGAGAGGGAAGAACATCCAGTGCAAAGGCCTGGTGTTGTCTGAGGAGACAGCAAAGCAGCGGCATGGCCAGAGAGAGAGGAATATTGTGGGCGTGGGGTAGCAGGAGATGAGGTCTGAGAGTCTGCAGGGTGCGGTGGGAGAGGAGCCTGGGGCGCCATTTTAATGAGGGAAATGGAAGCCATCTCAGGGTTTGGGGCAGAAAAGTGACATGCTCTGACTTACGCTTTGAATGGATCATTCTGGCTACTCTGTTGATGATGGGCCAAAAAGGGGCAAAAGGAGAAGCAGACAAATGAGCCAGAAAGGTACCCTGGTTGCCTGGGTTAAAGACGCCAGTGACTCAGATCAGGGGAGTGGCAGCATAGGAGGTGCACAGTGGTGGGGTCCTGGGCATATCTGAAGTTAGGGCCAGCAGCGATTTTCTGATGTTTGGGCACAAGGCGTGTGAAAGAGAGAAATGACAAGAGTCAGGGACAACCCCAAGTATTTGGCCTGATGGGCGATGCAAGAAGTTGTTGGCGACCCAGGTTCAGGATGGGGGTGGGGGGGAATTGTGGAGTTCAGTGTGTTGAAATAATCAAGGTAATACGTGTTACCTAAACACCTAAATCAAGGTGTTGAAAACAGGGAGACAGCAAGAGGGGTATATTTAAGAGATACATAAAAAAGTAGAGAATTTGTTAATTCTTAACTGAGACAAGGGGAGGAATCTAAGGTAACTCCCTGGTTTCTAGATAACGGGTAGATGAAAGCATGACTTGTTGACGTAGAGAATTTTGAAGAAGAAACCAAAACTGATGCCGGGATCGGGGAGGCTTCTCCACTAACCATGTGCAGGCAGAGCTGGGTTCACCTAAGGTATAACCAGTCTTCTCCTGGGATGATCGATAATTTCCAGAGGATAGGTGAGCAGAGGGAGAACAGGTGCTGCTGGGGGGACAGTATTCTGAGGGTACTGTAGGTGGGGTGGGGGGAGACAGGAAGAGGAAAAAGCGACAGATGTTAAAAATAATCTGATAGGACTGCATTCTAGGATTCTATCTCATGCTGTTTTCTAGAAGTTCAGAGACTGAGAGTACTGAAAAGTGCTGGGAGAGAAGATGCTACTTTTCTACAACAAAGGTACATGCCAGGTAAACAGCTAGGGCTTTGGCTAGTATCTGTGTCCCTCGATCTGGCCTGAACTGTAGCTCTGGGAAGGGCTGTGGTCACAGCACAAATGGACACAGAGTAGTGTCATGGACAACTGTCACATGTCACATGTGGACAAACACCGAATTTGAACAGATCTCACCATGCCAGTGGGTAAATAAAGAAAAAGAAAAAAAGGGTCTTTGTAGACATACAGAACAAGGAAGGGAAAAGAATCTAGGAGACTTAAGAAGAAGGACACAGGTCTGAAAATGGCACACTATCGGATCTAGAAAAAACATCAAGAAAGCTGTCCACTATCATTGGTAAGATGGTGTCAATGACACGGTTGCAGGCAAACAGGCTGAAATAAAAAAAAGCAATAGGATGTGTTGGAAGGAGAAAAGGGTTAGGTGAGGAAGGGCTGTTAGGATATTAAAAATGTAATAGCATAATTAGAGTCTTCACTGGAAACCTAAGAAGCAGAAGCAATGTTACCCACTATTAGATTAGAATTGTTGAGGATAAACTTGAAAAGCTCTCCTAGAATGTAGAGGGGAAAAAAGCCAAAAGCATGAGATCAATGAGTGAGGACATAATAGATACAGGGCACAGAGAAGCCACTGGCAAATCATTGCTCCTGGAGGAGAGGCCAAACCAGATGAACAAAACCAGATAACAGAAAATGGCCCAAGCAGAAGAAATTCTATGTGAACAGATTGCAAGGGCTCACTGCATCCCAATAAATGAGCTGAAATCCTCTAGACATATTGCATCTACGATTCAAGAAACTAAAGTGGGGAGAGAGGACAAGTCAGAAGAAGTGAATTCAACAGTTATGCCAAAGGCAAGGCTCTGTCATGATGACAAAGCAAAAGGCTTGGATATCTACAGGAACACGGGATGCCCAAGAACTAAAGTTGATCACAATTTGAGTTTAATGGTGCAAATGCAGGAAAACCACACCCACCAGATGACTCTGCTGTGGGCAGAGCACAGGAGGAGGCCATCAAGGGATCAGCAATGTCTGATGGGCATGTTCCCTTTGGAAGAGTAAGTAGAAAAATATTACAAGGATAGGACAACAGGGACTTTCTTTCGATGGCCAACCACTTGGGAATATATGAAGAAAATGCAAGAAATGAGACAGGATTTAAGAAATCAGGTTCCGATGATGCTTTGACAGACAATACAAAGAAATAAAAGAAAAACTGGTATAGATTCATCTCTTTGGTTTTGAAGATGGAAGGGAAGCAGACTGGAGAGGAAAGGAAGGTAGCAGAAGAGGAGGAGAGGGGTAACAAGCAAGAAAGAAGAGGTGCTCCAGAGGATTCCATCATTAGAACCTGGGAGCAGACCAGACCTGAGGCTGACAGTGTGAACCTCCTCAGGGAGAGCTCAGCCTTAACTCTTGGGACAGTTTCTGGTGACACCGAGGCCTCTGGAAAACCATACATGATTCTCAGGCCTGGACTGTGATCCACCCAGTTCCCTGGCATGGAGCGCTCCCACTCCCTCTCAGTGCTCTGAAGGCAGGAGCAACAAGAGACCATCACCCACCTGCGCAGAGGTGCTGTGAAGCTTCAGCAGCCCATTCTCGAGACGCTCCATTTTGGACTTGAGCTCTTCTCCATTTCTGCGCAGCAAGCTCTGGTAGAGTCTGATGAACTCCAGGAATGATTTGGGAGTTGTGTAGTTGTAGCGCCGCTCATTGCTCAGATAAGACTGAGACATCTGGTTGACACTTGTGTGGACAAAAGCCATGAACTTGCTAATCGACTGCTTGACTGTGGGCTGAAATCAAAGAGTGGGAAACAAAGCAACTGTCTGGACATGAAGACTGGAGGTGACAGCCCACCCCACTCATGGCCTCAACACATGGAAAGTTTTGCTCCAACAACGCTATCCAGGCCTGAACTTGAACCCTGAAACTCTGGACATGGAATTCCTTGTACCTGAAGTAGAGAGGACCTTGAAGAGTGTCTCCTTTGCTCTCTCACCTCAATGCCTTCTGTGTTCTGTAAGAAGCGGAGGCTGACGGACTCCAATGCCTGCCGAGGCCACTCGTGGAACCAGTCGATGGCCGTGCAGTTCACAATGGCTGGGAACTTCCTGCTGCGGACCCTCAGCTTGTTTCCCACAGGGGAAAAACAGAGAGTCACCTGAGAAATTAGAAGGGCGGGGAGAACCAAGAAAGTGTCAGGGAGATACTCATAGAGAGACAGTTATGGCTTTGGGTTCTTCATTTCCCAGAAAGTTGGGAAACACATCCAACAGAGGAAGAAAAAAATCTGTCAACAGTAGCCAGGCTTCTAGCCAACAAATTAAGAATGCTGGGACTGCATGAGGCAAGAGGGAGGCTACTGCCCTTGAAGCAGATGAGAAGGGCAGCCTTGCAAAATTGCTCAGGTGAAGAAAGGCAATCCACCTTCCCTGCCCACTGCCAGTGTAATCAATGAGGGCAGCTGTGTCCAAAATATCAGCAGAGGCTCTTATGAACCATCTCTGGTCCGCCTACCCTGGGCAGTAAATCCTTCTATACCTTCAGTTGTCGTCGGACCCGATTTACAAAAAACTTCCAACAGTTCTCTCTGTTGTCAACAAGACCTTGGCTCTTGACTTCATTCCTCACATTGTTTATGATGTTTTCAACTTCATCATCAGAGTAGAGGTCTGGGATCTCTCCTGGGAGAAATGGAACACAGATGGTGGCTTTGGCATCTCTCTGCATGATACAATAGGACGTGAGAGGCTATCCAAACTTTGGACACAGGGCCTATGATTTTTTGGCCATGTTCCACCACTCTTGCTGGTGGAATTGGACAGACACCATATCTACTCCTAACTCAGTGCAGGTGGAGGGATGATACTTTAAAGAATGGGAACAGGGTACACGGCACCATTTTGTCCTGGGCCAGCAGCCTGTAGCACAAAAGCTTTCAACTCTCTTTACTTCTTTTGCCTAAAGCATTTATTTACTAACTACTGTTAGCAAGAATTTTGCTCCTGAGGAACTTAATATTTAGTAGGAGAAATAAAACAGATGTAAAATACCTATAATATAAAACCACAAGTGAAAAGGGCCCATGAGAAAAATACAGATAAATCCATATATTGATGAAGAATGAGCTATCCCTTTCTATTAAAGAAAGGGAGAGAGCAAGAATGGTTTTAGGGAATCTAGTATATGATAAGTATGACATCTTAAAATCAATGGGGAAAAATGAACATTCAATACATGGTATTAGGAAAACTGGGATCTGGAAAAAAAAACTATGGTTGGATCCTTATACTCCATTGCACACTAGGATAAATTCCAAATGGATCAATATTTAACCATAAAAAATAAAACCATAAAAATGGCAGAAGACATGAAGGAAATATTTTTATAACCTCTGAGTGGGGAAGGTCTTCCTAAGTATAACTCAAAGTTGGTATGTTTTTAAAAGAAAGATAAATTTGGTAAATATAAGTTGACACATTTTATGTACAAATAAAAAAATTATATAAAAAATAGAAAAAAATGGCATGGTGAAAACATAGGCAAAGTATAATAAAAGCAAAACCAAAGAATCAATTAAAATATGTTTCTAAAAGATGACATACAAATGGTCAACACGTACATGGAAAGGTGCTCAACATAATTAATTATCAGGGAAATGCAAATGAAGATCACAATGAGATATCACCTCACACCTGTTGGGATGGCTATTATCAAAAAGACAAGATATAATAAGTGTTGATGAGGATGTGGAGAAAAGGAAATCCTTGTGCACTGTTGATGGAAAAAGAGTACAGAGAAATTGAAGAAATTAAAGGTAGAACAAGTGCCATGTGATCCAGCAATCACACTTCTGGGTATATATTTGATAGAAAAAAAAAACCCAGATCTTGGAAATATCCATACTCCTCTATTCATTGCAGCATTATCCACAATAGCTAAGATATGAAAACAGCCTAAGTGTCAATCAACAGATGAATGGACCAAACAAATGTGATTTATATACAGAAATATTATCCAGGCTTTCAAAAAGAAAATCCTGTCATTTGTAGTAACATGGTAAACCTGGGAGGGGGGGCATTATGCTAAGTGGAATAAGCCACAGGAAAAGAAAAATACCGCATGTATAACTTATATGTGGGATCTAAAAAAACCAAAAAACAAACAAACAAAAAAACCCGCCAAGAGTGGCAATCCTTATATCAGACAAATTAGATTTTAAAACAAAGACTGTAATAAGAGATGAGGAAGGACACTATATCCTACTTAAACGGTCTATCCAACAAGAAGATCTAACAATTGTAAATATCTATGCCCCTAACATGGGAGCAGCCAATTATATAAGGCAATT